ACACACAGTCACACACAACTTCACAAACTACAAATGCCTCAGGGTCCTACACAAACATTATTGAACCATCCTCATCACTTTGGATGCCAAAGAGAAATGATCTTTTTCTCAATTGATATATAACATGTGTCCTACACAAAAACATAATGAGTTCCCTCGTACCACGGGGACCAACCTAAGACGACAATGTTGAGACATTGTGGTCCAATTCATGGGTTGATGGGTGTACTGGTAAAACACTCCCAAGGAATAGCTGGCCAGGCACTTTGCTGCATTTTAGTTGGCTCGTCTGAATTTTTATTTTTTATTTTTGGATGAACAATAGAGGGAATGTGGGATAAATCGTTTGGGCAGCGACATAAAATATACTTTGTGTTAGTACATTGGCCTGTCAATTTATTATTGGTCAAGTTTTCTACATCATTGGACCCCCCAAAAAATACTGAGTTGTCACCTCACTTTCTCAATCATACACTTTGATGCAAAAAATAAAAATAAAAATAAATTATCCCCGACTAAGAATGTCAAAATATATTTATGGATATTAATCCATAGTTAATAGGTAGTCATAAATAACGAAATTAATGTTTTGTTAGTCTCTCTTTTACTCTGGTAATGGAGCTATCAGTGTACTTTTTCATCAAGTTATTGAATAAACATGTAGTTTTTGACTATTTTCTCTCTCCCTTTATCTTGAAAATCATAAGTATTTACATGGTGTCAGAGCCATAAAAGAAAGAGACCCAAATAAATACCCTTGCTTGATCTTTCTTCTTGCCGTCAATATTAAAAAAAAGAAGAACCCTTGTCTTTTCCATTATCGTGTCTTCCCTGACACTAAGATTACCACCATTCGTCGTTCCGAGTCCATATTGTTTTCTTCCACCGATCTTCATCAACGAAAGCAATCACAACCAATCATCTTTAAGAGTGGCATTATTATTCTCTGCTTGTGACGGTCTCAAATCTACTCCAATTGTTTATGAGAGCAGCTCCATCTTGTGAATTGCTAGTCTCTCCGCGATTGTCAAGAAAATCTGTCATTTCCTACGGCCTCATTAGTCTTTGTTGCCGGCATCCTTGGACTGGTGAAGTCTGCCACAAGTCAAGCTTCTCTGTTCTCTAACCTCGTTCTGCTACCCATCCTTTTCGATCATGGTCATTGGTTCTGCTTCTCCATCAAAATCAAAGCTATTGTCCCCATTAGATTGCTGATTGTAGTCTTACTTTCCTCTCTCTCTTTTCCATTCTTTTCAATTCCTAGAGAAGGAACAAAAAGAGGCTTTCTAGGGTGTTATTAGTGTTCCAATCTACAGCACCTCCTCTATAGAAACTTCCCCATTTTTTGCCAATATTTAACAATGCCAACCATCGATGTTTTTCGTTGCCAGACTCTTTCAATTTTGAGCGTCATTAATGAGCAAAGTCACCATCTAGTATCCAGGCAGCTATGAGTGCTAGTGAGTACACCTTCATCGGGCAGCCAAAGTTGACTATGGTTGGGATACATTTATGTTTGCCGCACTTTAAATTGGTTTGCACACGCAACGTGTCAACTTTCTAATCATGTGTTTATTCAGCACTTGTCCTAAATCAACTTCAATGTATCAACATCCTTTATCTAATGTAAGGAGATTTACATGACGCTTTGGTCAGAGTCTTTGAAAGAAAGTTGCACTTGTCATATGCAAGCTGAATGGTCCAACTTGAGGAGGAATGTTCGAGTATATTTACAGATATTAGTCAATAGTTAGTAGGTGGTTATAAATAAGGAAATTAGGGTACTGTTAGCATCTCTCATGCTCTATAAATAGAGCCATTAATATATTTATTTATCAAGTTACTAAGTAAAGATGTAGTCGTCGACTATTTTCTCTTTTCTTCTCTCTTGAAGATCACAGGATACTAACAAAATGGGCTGTTAGGAAACATTTGACTGTAACAAAATGCTTCATGCACCACATATTTGCTTAAAATTAGTATATTAGATGACATTATACTATATATTGCATTTTTCCGTTTATTGTTTTACTTATTTAAAACTCGAAATATCGGATAATGATTAAGTGACGGTCCTCAATATACTATAAGATTAACATCATGTTTTGGACCCAAAAATAAAAACAAAAATAACAAATAATTATAAATTGTTGTTGGGTCCATCACGCCTTCAAGAATTTGTAGCTCACAATAGCCCAAAAACCGTTATGCTAGTCAAGTCTAAATATGTACTGTATACTATTACCAGAGAGATCTTAAAAAATGTTGGGAAAAATTCAAAAAGGGACCTGAAATGGAGTCATTTTCTCAAATAAGGGCCTAAAGTGGACATTGTCTTAAACAATGACCTGAAGTGGCCAAATCGCCTCAAATAAGAGCCTTTGGTCGGTCGGTGACTATTCCGTCGTCGAAGAAGAGGTATTTTAGTCAAAAAATTTATAAGTATATTTTTTTTAATTTCTTTTTCTTTTCCTTTTCTTTTCTTTTTTCTTTTTCCTTTTGTCTTCTTCCCTCCCTAGCCGTCATTGCGCCTGGTCGACGACCTTTGCCAGCCTCAAGCAAGGGCTACCCTAGCCGGCGTCGGGCGAGGGCCACCGTTGTCAGCATCGGGCAAGGGTTGCCTTGCCTGGGCTGGACGGAAGAAGACGAGCCTCACCAGATCCGGCGAGGGCAACCAAGGCAACCCAAGCCCTCGCCGGCATCGGGCAAGGGTCGCCCTCACCTAGGCTAGTGAGGGCAAGGGTTTCCCTCGTCAGATCCAATGCTAGTGAGGGCGAGGGCGACTAGCCTTGGCGAGGGTGGCCCTCGCCCAACGCTAGCAAGGGCAACCCTCGCCCACCCAGGCGAGGGTAGCCTCCGCCGGCCTTGGCGATGGCCAGCGAAGGGAAGAGAGGAAGAAAAAAAAAAGAAAAAAAAAGGAAAAAAGAAATAAAAAGCAAAATACGAAAATACCCTTTGGCTGATGAGGTCAGGTTCTTATTTGAGACTTATATGGCCACTTCAGTCCCTTATTTGAGACAAGATTCACTTCAAACCCATATTTGAAAAAATGAGGACACTTCAGGTCTTTATTTGATATAAAGTCCACTTCAAGCTCTTATTTAAGAAAATAAAGGTAATTCATACTCTTATTTAAAATTTTTCCAAAAATGTTTGAAGTGAATTCTGTTGCAAGAGAAGTCTTAGTCAAAAACTTGACCCTCTCAAAGAGGCTTGACTTAGATTTTGACATAATGAAACTCTGGTCGTCAGTCGTTTACCATTACATAGCAATAAAGAAGGGGCCCCGCCGCCGCATAATCCGTAGCTACAAAATTACCGCGCACTGCCTCGGAATTAGGGTTTCACATATATACATAGAGAGAGAGAAATTCAGTGTTACTCAGGATAAATCCTACCAAAACTTTAAATATACAATTGTAAAAACGTTAATTTGTTGATGTACATAACTGAACATGATAGACGATGTTAGATAAATTTCTCCAAAGAATGTAAGTCATGTACAACAAAAATCATTGGGTGGCTTGAAAACAATAAGATCGTGATATTTCCGATAGATGAAACTCATTTGTGTTTTTGAAACCATTTGGTGAGTTCTGAGGTCAATTCCAATTTGTGTGTGTATGAGAGAGAGAGAGAGAGAGAGGGCGCCGGAGGTTGGGTATAGAACTCAGAACCAGAGAAGTTAGGATTTTGAATAAAGGGTTTTTGGTGGGTGGGTGAAGTGGTACTTTCGAATGAAAATTGGTACCTTTATATATAAAGTGCCGACATTAACTAACGACTGAGTATAATTTTTAATAACACTAAACTCATGATGCAAAGTGATGGTTTTAGAAGTTGAGGATGTAGAGTGATGCTGGGGTAAAAGTTGGGTAGTATTTCTTGAATTCATCCTGATGGGTGATGAATATATGCTTGATATAGATATTGGACCCCTTCTAGATAGTTAAAGTTCTTTTTGAGGAAAATCATTTGTCCAACATAATATTAGAAGAGCTGAGGTCAAAGGTTCAAGTAACGACAATCTTTCTTGTTGGTTTGTTAGTTTTCTTGACATTGTCTACTATTGCTTGTTTAACATAATTTCATTCATATCATAATGGAAAAGGGCACTACAAGTGTCATAACTTTCGTACAGTGCTAACTTGAGTGTCATAATTTTTTTTTGATCACTTGTCATAACTCATGTGCGGAGCTCATTTTAATGTCATAACTTTTTTTTTTTCCAATCATTTGAGTGTCATATAGCTTTTCAATCAACCACTTTGAGTACTATAACTTTTTAGTAACGTTCGCTACAAGTGATATGCCATGTCTAATTTCATGCACTTGGGTGAATGTTTTTAAAAAAATTTGGCGTTTAAATGATCGATTGAAAGTCATGGCACTTAAGTAAACTTTTTTTAGAAGTTAGAGTACTTAAGTGGTCAAACAAAAAAGTTTTGACACTCGAGTAAGTGTCGTACGAAAGTTATGACACTTGTGGTGTCATTATCCCTCGTATATGGGGTCATGTTTACACAAGAGGAGGAGGGTTAATGGATATGTTACATTTATAAATCCATGATAGGTTAAACTTCTAAAAAAAGGAAGTTTCCCAGGACAATCACTATTACATGCTCTTCTAGCCCCACTTCCTAAAATAAAAATAGAATAACAAAACTTCCTAAATCCTACCCCAGCAGTCACGTAAAGAGTCTGAAAAAAGTGGTGAGGCTCACGGTTCACTCACTTGGTTAGGTACATCTGCTATAGCTAACTTGAGAATAACTTAGGTGTTTCCTCATTGGTAGACTGAGTCAAACTTCATGTGGAAAAACTTTCACCTTCATAAGCAGCCTCAAAAACCTTAAAAAATAGAGAGAGAGAGAGAGAGAGAGAGAGAGAGAGAGAGAGAGAGAGAGAGAGAGAGAGAGAGAGAGAGAGAGAGAGAATCGTATGTACAGAGTACCCAGTAGCTGTATATATCAACTCTCTCCTCTTTTATATATGTAGGCTTCATGCGTGACCTCTTTGTCTCTCTCCCTCTCTCTCGCTCTCTCTCTCTCTCTCTCTCTCTCTCAGTATATGACTGAGCTTAGCTCTCTTGAGTAAAAGCCCAAATGGCTCTTGTGGTCCGCATACTCACTAACTGTCCTTTTCATCGCCTCTATATCTGAATCTTGCCCTTCTCTTGTTCTCTTGCCACACCAATCTTTTCTTTCTTCTCCAAGAAAATGGAATCGCCCAAATTTGGCGAGGACAAGAGGAGCTTGAAGGACCAGAAGATGGAGGACGAAGATTTGGAAGAGGAGGAGGAAGACGAAGACGAGAGCAGCGAAGCCGATAGGAAGAGATCGAGGTCGGCCACTAGGTCTAGCAAGAAAGGCGGATCATGCAGCGGATATGCGCCACCGCAGTTGTGCCAGGCGGAGAATTGCTCCGCCGACATGGCCGACGCCAAGCGGTACCACCGCCGGCACAAAGTGTGCGAGGTCCATGCCAAGGCCCCAGTCGTCGTGGTCGCGGGTCTCCGGCAGCGGTTTTGCCAACAATGTAGCAGGTTAGAAACCCTAAAAACTCATGTTTGCATCAAAGATCCTCCGACTCATTTCATTGATGAATTCTTGGTTTAGAACCAAAGTTTATTATTGAATTGGGTAGATCTCCCTAAATCGGAAATTTAGAAGTAGATAAACGGTTAGATTTTTTCAACTTTCGCGCAATTTCTTGTGCGTGAAATCTTACTAATTCATGAAATGAAATGAAAAGTTATTGCTTTACATCTTTGAGTGCTCATCGAGTCTCTGATAATTTCCACATCTATGATCTTGTGTGCTCTTATTTATACTGAATACCACACACTTGACACCTTAAATAGTAAACTTGAAAAGGCCAGAGTTCTACAATTTTTGAGTCGTTAGATTAGCCGAAAAGCATTCATTTTTTAACAATGATTTGAACTGTAAGAGACTCATGCTTTTCGAATGGGTCAAAGAGTGAAAGAAAGTCCTCCTAAAAGCCAAAAATACAACTAATGCTGCAAGAGAGGGAGAGGGAGGGAGAGAGAGAGAGTCGCTTGGAGTGAAACCTCAAATTCCAGCTTCACCACTTCAAAGGAAAGCCTGTTTTTTCTCCAAGAAAACCCCATCCTAAAATCGTCCCAAGACTCAAAGCTTAGTGGCTCTTCACATGATTGAACAGGAAAGCTAAGAGATAGGGTACGTTCATCTCACTGTCACGCCTAGTCAAGGTTTGTATTCTAGGAAAAAGGAAAACACTCACAAAGGTCGCTCTTTTGTCATGCATTTTGCGTCTCTTTTTGACACTTTCTCTAAAGCAGAAGGTCTTTTCTTGGTGTTGGTTTTGGTTGGTCTTTCAAGAGTTTTCACACGGATCATGTTGGAGACCAGAAAATTTACGAGAGAAATTAATCAGAGAGCTAAGTCAAGAAGGGGGTTTATTTGAATCATGTGCAATTTAAGAATGTGTACGTGTGAGACTGACGACAGTTCCATGGACATAACATGATGCCTCCGACAGAAGGACTAAGGTTGTCCTTTGAGAGGGTACACACCTTATTGGCAACGGAGAGTGACAATCCCAGAAGCTCTTGAAAGTTCACGCGAAGGCGAATAGCCAAAAGAACGAAACTTTGAGATGTAGTAATTCCATACGTATATGATTGAGAGGAAAATCAAAGATCGAGACATGACTCTTTGTGAGAAATAGAAAAAATAGATTTCCTGACATAATATTGTCTTGATATTAGGATATGTCACCCTTACTTTAAAAGTGTGAAGTATCAGAACAATGACCGATATATATTAAAATAGAATCTACTCGAACCCCTAAATTTTGAAATAGTGCATTCTACATCCGAAAATTCAAAAGGTGGATATTTTGCTCCCTCATAACTATATAGGAACATGACATTTTCGTTTTTCGAAAAGGAACACTTTTCTATCCTTGAGTTTCATTTTTATCCGGCGAGCCATTTCCCGAAAATGAAACTTGAGGGAAGTAAAAGTGCTACTTCTCGAAATGGGTCTGAAAGTGGAAAATAATGAACATTTGAGAGGATAAATTGTGGACCTTTTGAAGTTTAAGGTGTCAAGTATAGCATCTCCAAGATTCAGGAGACCGCAAATTGAGCTTCCCTATATTTCCTGCGATTCCTTGTCATATTTCATATGGTTATTATGTCTGCGATCATTCAAATACATTCATATAAGAAATCCTGAGTTTGACACCATGGACAATTGTCTTATGGAAAACTTCAAAGCCCTCAATGTGTTTATTAATGCAAGATGTTTCCATGCTTTCGAATTTAGCATCCAATTGATAGGTCGTGGCTAAAGTCGTACCTTCAAAATGTTTATTGAAACAGACAGTCAGAGAAAACCACAGAACTCAATTCCATAGTGGACATATACATTTGTTCCTAATCAAATCTCTTTAGAAAGAAGATCTTTTATCTCATGGTATCCTGCTCCTATCCTGTGCGGAACTTTCATTCATAGGTTAGCCTAAGCAGATAAAGGTGAAGAAAGAACCACGCAACCCTTCAAAGGAGAAGCCGCATCAAACTACTTTCTGTACCCGATTGAGACTAGAAATGTACCGTCTGTCTTGAGGAAGTGGAGTGAGTTTGTTTGGGATTGCATTAATCTTTACATGTTATTAATTAGTTCTCAAGCAAGTCGAAGCTCCGGCCAGAAAATATGTCCATTTCCTTGGCCTAATGTATATTCCTCTTGCTAGTTGTTAACGTTTGTATGGGTTTTTCCTTCTTAAAAAAGGCTTCTGCTCCATGTCCTAGGTTCCACGAGCTGTCAGAGTTCGACGAAGCCAAAAGGAGTTGCCGGAGGAGGCTGGCTGGGCACAACGAGCGGCGGCGCAAAAGCTCTTATGATTATCAAGGAGAAGGCTCAAACTGAAAAATAAGAAGCAAGACTTTTATGAAGCCAGAGTTAGAGCAAGAGGGGAAGAATCTCTTCCCCTCCTCATCAAATGCTTCCTTTTACAATCGAATTGGGATCGAATCAAGATCCAAATTTCAGTTATGTGATTTCTAAGCATGCTCTCTCTCTTCTGTCAATTCTTGACCTTTCGAATGCTACGATGTTTAAGCAATATTCTTAAGCTAAGAGTATGCTTCAAGTATCATTTTGGCCATCTGTTTTCACCTATTTTTTCGCAAGTGGTTTAAAATGAACGTATGATTTCTCACGACCCCAAAGTAATAACGTCTTTTTGTAGGGTTTCATCTTATTCATGAACTCATTATGTTTAACTACACTTGCCATCGTAAAATTTCAATAGGCATCGTAGTTGGCAGATACGAAAATATTTAGCATGGACGATCCCTTTTTCTCTGAATACATCTACATCACACTGATTTAATGGTGGTCGGAGATATATCTATTAATGGACCTAATAACAAAACTTATTATTTGTTATGTAACTATGGTTCGAAGATACAATAAACAGTTTTTCCTTCAAATTGACGTCGATTATAACCCCTAGCCTTTCAAGCTAACGATGTAGGTTCACTTCTTGCCACCCGCCCTATTCCCCATTCCAAGTTAGGCTATAGTTTTTTCCAAATTTTTAATGTTTGTGCGCATGTAAACATTCGATTTCTCTCTCGACGCTTTCCTAAAAATTATTTAATTTTATTGGAAAACTTGCATAATTGTGGATTGGTTTGATTGATGTGATTCCACCTCCTTCATCTTCACACAGTCTTTTATATTTCCCGCCCCTAGTTTCGCACTTGTTCCTAAGCTAGACCTTAAAAGGTTTCATCTCGAATCTCGTTTGAATATCGGGATCACCGGAATGTGAAACTTTCAAAGGATATTCCCTCTCCCCGGGGAAGAAAAAGACTCGAGGGGAATTGGGGATGCAAGGCGCGTGGGTACCAGCATATTAAAATAAGAAACGCATCCGAGAAAACCACCCCACGGGATGAGAACAGTCCGTGGAACCCTCATAGGAGTGAAATCTCTCTTTTTTTGATGAGGTTAACTATTAACCTAATACCAAAAATTCAAGAAAAAGTTACACTATAGTTTTCCAAATTTATAATGCTTGCGCGCATGCGATATTTGATTCCTATCTCAACACTTTCCTAAAGGTTAACATTTTTTTGGGTAAATTCATTGGACAACTCGCATAATTTTGGATTGGTTTGATTGATGTGATTCCACCTCCTTCATCTTCACATAGTCCTTTATTTTTCCCGCCCCTAGTTTCGCACTTAAATGACAAAAAGCTACAGAAATGTACGGATGAAGCACTTGACATGACAACTTGAGAATGAGAGAGAAAACTGAAGGATATGCACGAAAAAACGACTGTCTTCTGTTACTTGCTTTTTCAGCTTCAACAGCAAAGTTGGACAGCTTACAGAACTAGGTATCTGTCCTCTGGTACTTGATGTGATAATGCTTAATTAGCGTATCTTATTCCATTTGAGTAAAACATAAATCTTTATACTATAAGTGGTTCTTGTGGAAGCCCTAGAGCATGTACCTGTATACTTTATCCCGCGCAGGACATACAATAATCTACACAAGGATCTTGAATTTTGGTTGGTCTTTCCTTGTAACACCATGTTGTCAATCTAGCAGTTAAGGAATTAACATGGATGTGCAATTTAAGCGCACGACACAGGCTCGGATCTCCACATCACCAAGCAGAAACAATTTCATATCGAGGCCGCCACCCTTTAGTTGAGTAAGTTAGCTGCATTTTCACAGTTACAAACTGTTTTATTGAATTATTACTACATTTGTTTGATTGATTCACCAACATCACATTTGATTAAGTTATTAGCAATGTTTATTTCAGTGAACCCGTTAACTTCACATATGATTAAGTTAACCATTCCTGTGAAGTCACCAACTCTTATTTGAATAGCTTGCCAACTTTTATGTGATTTCTTTGACATTTATGAACCTTTTTATAATAACCTTTAAGCTTTATTTTGTGTATCTTATAAATCTTTATTTGCGAAACTTATCCACATTTTGAAAATTTACTAACTTATGGAAAAGTTGATAGCTTAAAACTAGTGATATCTTAATTAGGAAAAAAAAGTTAGTCATTCAAGTTAAAGTTGATACTTTGATATAAGGGTTAGAAATATTCAAAATGCTGGTGAATTATGCGAACAAAAAAGTACATTATTAGAAAAGTAGGTAACTTACAGACAATCAAATAAGCATTGGTGTTCCCTCTCTCCTTAGGTTGTGTTTGGTCGTCTGTAATTCTAGTCAGGATAGAACTGGATAGGATAAAATATGAAATCTAGGGATTTTGTAATATCCTATCTACTATTTGGTGAATCGTGGTAATAAAACCAGATATTTTCATATCATATTATGGCCATTGTTTGGTATAAACGGCATATCAGTGCAAATGAACCTAAAAATTGTACAAATGGAGATGGTAAGAATCTCTCATGACACCCTTGCCTACTTCATTTTTATTTGCTTCTTTTTTTTATTTTTCCCTCTTTTTTATTTATTTTTTCCTCTTCCATCATTCTCAAATAAAAATTTATTAAATAGTAAACTATACTAATATACCTGAAATACTAAAATATAAATAGTACGTATGTATATTTATATACATTGAATTTATATTATAAGATAGAAAGAAATTCAAATATATAAATAAAATAGAAATTAAAAAAATGAAATTGTTTTCATTTTTTGTTTAATTTTTAATATTATAATTCAAATATTATTTATATTTAAATGTTATTTTAATTTTATTAATTTAAGAGATTATTATTCGAGAAAAATAAATTTTATATTATGGATATTAGAAATCATATCTACCTTTATCTCACCTCCCCCATGGAATAATTTTATTTGGATTATATCTCTTTTATATCAGACTTTATCCTATCGTAGGCAATAACCACACACAGGATAAGATAAGTTTATCATATCCTGAATTTCTCCTGATTACCAAACGTAAGTGTTGCTTGTAACCTATCGCAGTAGTCAAAATCTGCGTTGGGTGCTTTAATCTTGGTGTAGGTTATTTGGTAAAGAAAGCCAACATTTGTAATAACTCATATAGAGTTTGGTGATGCACTAGTTAGTAGCTTAATCAAAAAACGTTTGTGAGTCACTTAAATAAAGTTTGGTGATTCAATATAAGAGTTGGTAAATTTAAATAGTTGGTAAGTTATGCAATTAAAAATTATTAAATTATTATAAAAGTAGGTAATCAACCAACCAAAGAAATGTTTGAAAATAACTCAAATAAGAGAGAGTAACATAAAATTCATTGGTAAATCTACAAAGTTGGTAAATTATGCAAATAAAAGTTAGTAAGTTATTTGAAAAACTAGCAATTTGCAAACAACCACATAGATATTGGTAAATAACTCAAACAAATTTAGTTGGTAATGTAATTAGTTAGCAACTTTATTGGAGAAAAATTGGTAAGTTACCTAAATTAAATTTGGTAATTTCATATAACAGTTGATATAATGTTCGTAAGCTACACAATTAGAAGTTACTAAGTTGTTTGAAAAGTTGGTGATATACAAAAAAAGATAAGTAACTAGAATAACAGTTAGTAATCACAAAATTTAAGGTTGGTAATTTGCTATAAGATTAGTAAGTACTTTTTAAATTTCCCGCCAAATTTATGATATTATTCAAATTTTTAAAAAATTAGGAAAAATTTATATGTGAATCTACTACTGCATGTCATAAATTATATGTTGTAAAACTTTTGAGTGTTTTGGGTTAAAAAAGTTCAAAGTGCATCTGTCACAAACTTTAGATCGACAAAAAAGCAAAAAATAAAAATCTATTCAGACACGCTCTAGAAAAGTAGGTAATTTAAAAAAAAAATGCTATAGGTGGTAACTTAATCAGAGAAGAGTTTGTAAGTCACTCAATTAACGGTTGGTAATTTAATAAAAGAGCTTATAAATTTAAAAGTTTGTCAGTTATATAATTAAAAGTGAGTAAATTATCAAAAAAGTGGTTAGTTACAAACAATTAAATAAAAATTTGTAAGCAACTCAAATGAAAATTGCTAACTTAATCGAAGAAAGTTGGTAAATCACATAAATTAAAGTTTGTAATTGACATAAATAAATTGGTCAATTTAAAACATGGATATATGATGCAAATAAAAATTATTAAGTTATTTGAAAAGTTCGAATTTATAAATGGCGAGCAAATATATGCTAATAAGCACTATGATAAGAGTTGGTAATCCAATGTTCATTGCTGATTTAACTGGAAAAAAATATGAAAAGTCATTGAAATTAAGGTTGGTAATTTGATATAAGAGTTGGTAAATTCAAAAGGTTGGTAGGCCCGAAAATAAAAATTGGTGAATTACCAAAAAGGTTTTCAATTTACGGATAACCGAAAATAAACGTCGATAATCTTTACCAAAAAAAAAATAAACGTCGATAACTAATTCAAATATAAGTAAGTAACATAAAATTTATACTTAATAGGGATAAAGCCATAAAAACCCTCAAATTTTGCCCACTATAACACATTTACACTAAACTATTTTTTGTGACACCAAAAATCATAAATTTGTACATGTGCGACATATTTATCCCAAACTTTTTTCTATAACACCAAAAGCCTCAAACTTATATCTGTGTGATACATTTATCCCAAAAAAAATTTGTGAGACCCAAAAAATTTTCTGTGATACCAAATTTTCGAGGTAGATGTGTTATACAAATATAAGTTTGGAGTTTTTTGTATCACAAGAAGAAATTTGGGGTAAATATGTTACACTGTACAAGTTTGGGGTAAATGTACCACATAGGTACAAGTTTAGGGTTTTTTGTGTCACAAAAAAAATTCGGGTAAATATGTTACAATGGGTATAGTTTAGGGTTTTTGGTGGCTTTTACCCTACTTAATATTCAAAAACTCAATAAATCATGCAAATTAATGTTGGTAATATCATTTAAGAGTTGGTAAATTTAAAATGTCGATAAATTACACAAACAAAAGTTAACAAGTTATTAAAAAAGTTGGTAATGTACAAACAACCTAAATAAACTTCGGTATTGTAAACTAACAAGTTAGCGTGTGGCCCCAAAAAAACAACTAAGTGGAGGAGAAATAGTTGGCCAGTGACATTGTTTTACCGACAATATTCGATACCTATCGACGTTTTAACGACTACGGAAAATTTTTGTCTCATTTCTTCAGCAAGGAATGATAGGATTTTGCTCGTCATTAACGTAAATACGAGGATTTTTACAAAAAGCAAACCGTTGTCGGACCTACGGACGATCCCATCTTGGTCAAGTGAAAAGAGACATTGATCAAAGTTGGGCTTGATTGATTAGACTCGTGAAGAGATATTTGCCAGAATCGATCTCTTTTGGACGGGATAAGGTGATGTTACTCACCGTGTACTTGCCGGTGAAATATACGAACATGCTTCGCATAGTTTGGCTACTCTTCTTCCTTGTTAGTTTCATTGGCCAAATGGCAACAGGAACAAAATCCTCTGGCGTCGTATCGCATATCAAAGATAAGAAGACAACGAGAATCCATCCTCCGCGCATCTATCCGTGCATCTATGCCCCGGTCACGCAGCATTCGCTTAGAACTAACACACTTCAATCTACCGGCATACTCTATCAATAGATAAAGCAAGAACAACCCTTTTAAATTTGACGTCGCCAAATCTTCGAAACTGTCTTCATTATAGAGGTTCGACGATTGCGAGTATAAGTTTGGCGAATGCCTTCAATTATAACCGCATCGAATCCTTAATCTTACACTATCCCACGGCAAAGGAATCTCCATCTCCAAGTCGAGGGTCAAGACTGCAATGCATCGTCGCTGATGGAGGGCGTCGTAAAGCGAATCCATCAATAAATAAATAAAAATGAGCCTTATATTACTTTTCCTGATCATCTCTGATCTTTTGAAGTAATATACAGATTGACTGAACTTAAAAGTTTACAATCCCAGAATCAAGATACCGGTAAAACACACATCCACCTAACCAAATAGTTAGTTTAAAAAGGTTGAAAACCGTAGTAATCAGTCATAGAATCAAATGAAAAAGGGAAAGGCCATTCTCCCTCCAAATAAATTCACTATTGTCAAAGAACCTCCCATGCTTTTGCAATCAGTAGCAGCAACATAAGTATCTGAAAATTTCCACCCAATGAATGGATACCCCTCAGTCACGCCGAATACCTAAAATTTTCATGGCCAGTTCCCAGGAGACAATGGCAGCTGCATTAGCAGGAAATGCCCGAACTATCGTCGGACCAAATCCTGCATAACACCCTCTAAGTCCTGCTCTCCCATAAATCTACAGCCAGAAAAAGATTAAACAATAGAAGTCCTAACTTAAATGAAGGAGGAATGCCGGATTGTATAGTGACATGACATTGACAGGCAGCTAGATGAATACGATTATGATCACTTACTGAGCTTAAGACTCTGAAAGGATTTCTTGGATCATTTCGATCAGGGGCAGTCTGAATTATCGTTTTTGCCACGTCCAAGGGCAAAACAGCACACCAAAACTGTGGAAAGTACAGAGACTGTGAGTAGTGGCACCACTAATACATGCCTATATAGATGCCCATAAAAGAATGCTCAAGAAAATCACTCATTTTTCCGAAAGGTAACTTACAGCTATACCACCAAGCCCACCAGTCACGACCCCAATACCAATATCAACGACATGTCTGCGCTGAGATGAATCAGAGTTCTGATGCAATTGCAAGTGCATGTAATGGCGAACATACTCATAAGTGCTAAAGAAGACGGCATTTCCTATGGATTCCCTCAACAATGTGGCAAAGCCTCCACGAAAAATTCCTGTAACCTGAAAACTTTCCCATTACTTGATGAATACAATTCCAATTCATATATCAATTAAACGACACATGCTCTCACCCCATCAGCTTTTACGGTTTTGATGGCACAATCTAGAGGACCACTGTATCTACTGGATTTTGGAACAACTGAATCAGTACCTTGGACTTGCATCCTACACTGAAGATGCAATGTCAAAGTAGGGAAAAGAAAATCAGAGACAACTGAAAAAATCTATGTCCTGCCTAAATCATCCAAGTCAAGTTACCTTCACCAGCTCAGATGGACATAATACAAAACTGATCATTGCTCCACCATAAGCTGCGGCAGGAATGATAACTCGGGGTTGAGGCAAATCAGTTTGCAAGCCCCTCTTTATCAAAAAAAAAAGCAGATGAAAAGTAAATACAAGCTATAAACACATCCAAAAGCCATTCAATGTGAACAATTTCTCAGAAAATGAATGGCTATGCCATAGAAGCTGCTCACTTATGTTCTTACATGCCTGCAAGGACTGTTTTGTTTGTGAATAAATTCCAAAAAGAAGTGAACTCTCAAAGGCCATTCCAACAAAGGATGAAGTAGCTCCTCTATACAAACCTTTAACCTGCAAAAGATTGTTCCAAAATTCTCTTAGAAAAACAACTTATTTCACAGTTCTCTTAGAAAAAAGAAAGATTTGAAGTACAGATAGAAGTAGTACTGCAGTCATCATCAACCTACATTAGTATAAAACAGAGATGACCCAAATACAAGGTCATACCTTATCTTTATTAAATGCATTATACATTATTCCACAAAATAGTTTCATTTAGAACCACAATGCAATGGTGAGCATATACCATCATATATCAACCCATGACAATCCAACAGCCACAATTTACGAGATAGAACACTTAAATGGACTTAAGGCCAAGTTTAAGAAACATACTCCTTCAGTTTTGAGGACTCGTGCAGCACAGTGTAAACCATTTCTATACTTGATTTCACCAACTTCAGTGTTGTGTTTTTGAAGCTTCACCTGAAATAAGAGATGAAGAAGAAGCTTGCATGTAAGCAAGAGATTAATAGAACAAATTATCCTAACTATTTTCATTGACATTGCATCTAAGCCATTAATTATGCTCTTGATACAGCTTTGTGTTCACAAACTGTTAGATAACAGTTGTGTATTTGAATATACACCCTTTGACTTATAGTGAAGCATGATATTAGCTGCGTTACGACTTGCCCACGTTACCCGGGTGGAAACATGACTATATGATAAATCCTTCAAGACATATACAGGACAAGATAGAAGAAAAATATAATAGAATACGATGGATAACACAGTGTAGATGTCTTGCTAATTCTTTCTTATGCCAAAAAGCAGATGGATTGACAAGCTATACTGAAAAGATTGTGTATTCAAGAGAAATTGCCAAATCAGTACACGTACTACTCCTATATCATGCAGTCAATGGTGAACGTTGAGTAGACATCGAGCGTCTGTACCAATGAATAAGGCAACAATGACAAAGCAATGAACGCTATGTCCTTAACTCAAGCTTCAAAATGCTGTGCATCACTATACGAGAAACACGACGGCATCATCATAAAAGCACTTGAATAAATTTCCTATTTTTAGAACAGAAACAGGGTCTAAACCTGCAGGCAAACTGATTTATGATTTTGATAACTATCACTTTGAAATAAGACTTCCTGTAGTTAAAAAAAACTAAAGATTCTCAGTTGTTTTTATTTTTTGTTTCTCCAACAATTGAAAATAATCGAATGCAATTAGACAATTACCCTGATTCTTAATATAAACAACTAGATAAGGACAGTTTCCATTGTCTTTTTCTTTTCTTTATGATAACTATAACAGCGTTTAAATCTCCCAAACATACTTTTGGTTCTTAAACAGCCAAACTTGTTCCTTTTCCCTTTCTACACTTGAAAATGCCTCTCTTCTAAACAAATCACTTAAACATTCTGGAACAAGCACCAGGACCCTACAAAGCCATACACCAACGGGGCACCAAGCAATTTTTCGTATAAGGGAATGAAGCTATGCATTTGAGCACAATGTCATCATTTAAAAACCCTTCAAGTAATTAATTTGAGAAGTTTCAATCCATCCATCCCTAAAACAAATTACAAGGACAAGCAGACCGACCAAAAATATGGAATTGTATGAAACTAAGACTTACTACAATTTCACTCCCACAACTTTTAGCCACCAACCAATCCAAGCAACTAATGCCTTGAGAATCAAGGAATGCCCAACTTGCGCACTCAAAAAATGCAGAGATAATGCACTTTCGTAGCCTTTTTCTTTTGGTTGGTCTCGCCAACTCGTGATGCCAACTCCGCCATCAAGAATGCATCAAAACTCCAAAATATTGCCTCAACCGGAACGATAAGCGACTCCAACGAGCGACCCTTCAACTCTCAAGCAAGTTCAGATCAAGCTACTAAGTTCCAAGAGCATTTTTGCAGCATTTTAATTAGCCAGTCAAGTACGTAACTTGCCACATCATCGCAACAAGACGTCTACAATCGAAAGATTTCCAATCAAGAAAGCTCGAAACTTTGACAACAGAAGGGCCGAATTGGATTCGCTTTCCCACCATTCGGGGTGAAGCCACTGATCGAGCGAACGACGAGATTGACTGCATCTGATTCACCGGGATCTTGATTCAGGGCAACACCCACATGGAAGCAAAAGGCGAAAGCGCGGTGCAAGCGGGGGAGCGGAGTTACCTTGACGGTGTCGAAGGGGTGGCCGGTGACCACGGTGGCGACTCCGGCGACGAACCCGGCAGCATACTCCTTGTAGCCTGAGCTCGCCGCCATATCTCTCTCCCTCTCACTCTCACAAGACTACAGCTTTCAAGCTACCCCTCTCTCTCTCTCTCACAAGATTACAGCTTTGGAGCTACCCCCTCTCTCTCACTCACACAAGATTACAGCGAGCTACCCTCTCTCTCTCTCTCTCTCTCTCTCAATTCATGGTGGGATCGTCAAGCGCGGGGGAGAGAGAGAGAGAGAGAGCTTCTTGGTCGGATCGTCAATGGCGGAGAGAGAGAGAGAGGACGAAAGTTGCAGAGCAGGAGAGAGAATCTTGTTCTTCTTGCACAGCACCCTTGTTATTGTCACTTCAATTTTCGGTCCGCAAACTTTTTCTTTCTTTTCAATTGAGTCCTCAAACTTTGGTTCTTGCTCCGTTCATGTTATCTTTGCCCATTTTAGAGTGCATTTGTAATATTTTTCTAAAAGTAATCGTTTTCAAAAAATGAATAAATAAATAATATTTAGGTATAAATTATTATTGATGATGAAAATATTTTTTATCGATTAATTATCTCGAGCGACACAAGCGATCATTTTATAAGAAAATATTTTTCGAATCATTCTTTTTCTGTGAAACAAATGGAGCCTTATTCCACCTCACCATTCGAGTCCAAATAGCACAAACACAATATTCCACGTCAACATTCTAGACATACTTCTATAACAAGGACCAAGATGAACCCAAACAAAAAAATCATAGTTCAAGGACTCAATTGATCAAAAAATATTTAGCCATGGATTGAACATTGCCGCGAAAATTCGACGAGTAATAGTGCCGCGGTCCCTTCCATATATATCGGACAAATTCATTCCGTTTTTACATTATACTAGATTAATTAGACTAATACTTGCGCAGTATAATATGAATCAATATAGATATGCTTGAATGAAAATTGAGTCAACAGACTGAGAAGAATGATGTGATTGTACCTTTGGTACTCCAATTTTTTTGTTTCATTATGCAAATTTAATCGCATCCTTAGAATTGTGGGCCGTGTATATTTATATGGTTAACATAAGATTGCTTAAGGGTCCATTTGTTTGAAAGAAAATCGTATTCGAAAAATTATTTTCCAACTTTTTTATGTTTGGATAATGAAAAACTAAAAAATATTTTTCATGGATTCAAAACAATAAGCTTGGTTTCGAGAAAAATGACTACCCCTTCTAGTGAGAAAGGAATCACACTACCATTTTCTTTAAAAATGATTTTTATAAAAAATATTTCTTTTATCATAAAGTTGTCAATAAAAACTAGCATACCCTTGTACAAAAGATAGGGATACCTTCATCTTTTTGGACAGGTTGGTCCGGAACCATTTCATGCTTGTTCTAGGTAAGGAGACGATCTCCGTAAAACATAGAAAGCTACACAAGCAGTTGATCTGCAAAGTGTATGTATACCTTTGATTGGCAGTTCTACATTCAATTGTTCGCCATGAAACAAAACTTCAAAGAGCGAAATGAGAAGCATATCGATCCAAAGATTCTAAAATGAGTAAAGAGCATGCCCCCAATTGCAAGACCAACCTACGTAAGCCGAAGGAATGGAGCGAAGACTACACGTACCGTTCGGATGAAGATGGTTCAATGCCATCGCCACAAAAAAAGATATGCAACGATCTCTGATTTTTGCTCTTGGAAAAAAGGCAGGAACGAAACTCAATAGTCTATACTGCAAAATTCAGGTGACTCTGATTATGCCAACCGGTATGACAGCCGTTTTCGCAACGATGCAAGGGGAAAAAAAAGAGGAATTGGGCGATACAGATGGGAACAAGACTAAATTGCAGAAACAGTCACTGAGGAAAACATTTTTTGAGTACACTGGAACATCTACTGTACCGAGACCGAGATCGAGAGCTAAGATAGTCCAGCTCTCAATAAGAGGACCGTCTTCCGTGGACCATCGAATCTCTTGCTGAAGATGCTGCCACAACTTAGCCCCGAAAGTTTTTGGTAATGTCACATCTATGGTGATTGGTGACCCCGAGATGTAGCTGGACATCACAACTTACTTCGTATATTCTGAAGAGGAAGTTTTCCTGGTTTGCTATCTCCAGTCGAGCTTTTGAATATGTCGGTGTCTGATATAAATTTGGCAAACCGAGAGCCCTTCCCTTCTTTCATGTTATCTTGCGGTACTGAATGAGGCAAACCAGGGTGCGGTTTGGGAGCTAGTGACGGCATCAAAGCCCAAATGGAAGAAATCTCTGCATTTGGCCGATCAAGATCTTGCAAGACCATGGGATCCCGCATGTCTGTTCGGTTAAGAAAGTGAAATTTGACAAGCATTTTCCTTCCGTCAGCATATGCAACAGATTCTTCGGAAAATAATAAAAACTCGACTCCCACCAAACAGAAGAGGCCTTAGCACAGGTCCAAATCACAAATTTTTATGCAAGCCTACTTATTATACCAGCTTTAGCCTTTTTCTTTACAAATTATCATGATAACGTGAATCATACTTCAAGATTTATCCGTCCTGCTACTGTATTAAAGCTATACTGCAAAGAGCGCCAGTAAGAGGCATGTTATAGCAACAATATCAAGAAAAGTTACCTTGTGAAAACTTGAAGATTGGAGCCAAAGCCGCACAAGGAATGCTGAAGTTCAAGTGTGGTATGACCGTGCCTCCACCATGTCTCGCATTGCTACATGAACATTTGTCTCGTTAAGTATTATTACTCAACATTCAAAGATCTAGTAGCCTAACTAGCAGAGCTAGCTGAACTCACATCTGAAAATGATGTAAAAACATACGACAAAAAAAAATAGAGATGATCACACACAAGTTTGATAATGATTTGCACCTTGGATCCTAACATCCCTTTCTCTGCCAGGGGTAACATCACAACCAACTAAACATATGTCAGAATTGAGTCATGCAATATCTGCCTAGATGTGACCATGAAAACTAATGTCCCAAACCAAGTCCTTTCCTAAGCCAAGTCCACACGTGCTCAGACTAGCAATTTTTGTAAAATAGCACCCTAATGCACACATGCTCTTAGATATTGCCAGACCCAAACTTCTATGAAGAATTTGAAAGGGGGAAACATCAATGAACTGCAATGCTAACAACTAAGACCAGCAGGATGTACAACTATTGTTTCAAAGTTCAGAGTAATCCATCAAATGATCATTATTTCTTTGTTGCTATACCTTGTAATAAGTCCGATCATACAACCATCAAAATTGACAACCAAACCGCCACTAGCACCTGGATGAACAGCAGCAGTTGTTTCGAGCATTGCTGGGATGTCTCCTGCATCTTCCCTTATCACTGAGAGAGAGGAGCACGACCGCTTTGCTTTGACTACTTTTGCCACCACACCAACAGATACAGATGGGAACAAGCCTGATATAGACATTTGAAACAAGCAAAACAATCCAGTGTCAAAATGAAAAGGTAGAAAACTATATATTTCAAAAAGAGATACACAACCAATGATGAACAATCACATTTAAGGCAATCTCATTCTGTGTTTCTTTATCTACTGTCTTTTGGAGACAGGCACCCTGGAACTGTGCATGATGTAACAATTATTTAATCAAAGCACGCTACATCTGAAACTCCAGACTGTAAGGGCCCGTTAGGCAACGTGCCAAACAGTGAAAATTTCTGTTCTTTTGTTCTCAGAAATAGTTTGGGAACAGAAATGCGTTTGGTAAACTTTTTGTTCCCTGGCACATTTTTGCAAAAATTTGTGCCGAGAAAGGGTTTTGGACGAGAAACAAGAAGTAAAAAAAAGTTGCTTCTTGTTTCTCGGCACAATTTTGAGAATCAGTTTTTTTTTTTTTTTCTTTTTTTTCTTTTCTTATTTTTGTGTTGTTCTTCCCAATTGGGCCGGGCCGGTCAGCTGGCCGGCCTGACCCACAGCCCAGGCCGGCGAGGCGTCACGACCCTCGCCGAGGTGCCGGCGGAGGCGAGGGTAGCCTCGCTCGCCGAGGGCGAGGTGGACCCTCGCCGCGGACAGGCGGCGGCGGCCTCACGCCCGGCCGGGCGAGGCTCGAGCCTCGCCCCGGTCGGTCGCGGCGAGGTCGGCCTCGCCCGGCTGGCAAGACTCGGCCTCGCCCGGATCGGCGAGGCCGAGCCTCGCCGTCGCGACGGCCAGGCGGCCGCCTCGCCGTGGGTCGCGACGGCGAGGCTCGGCCTCGCTAGATCTAGGCGAGGCCGAGCCTCGCCGTCTGGGCGAGGCCGACCTCGCCGTCGCGGCCGGCGGCGAGGCTCGGCCTCGCCCAGGCGGCGAGGGTCCAGTGACGCCCTCGCCGCCGGTGAGGCGACCCCGCCCTCCCGCCGGCGGCCGGCGAGGGCCGTGACGCCCGCCGCCCGGGCCGTGGCCGGCGTCGGCCGCCGGTCACGGCCGCACGACCGGCCATGGCCAAAGAAGAAAATGGGTAGAAAGAAAAAAAAAATTAAACAATTCAAAATATTATTAAAATATTATTTGGGAACAGAAATTTTGTGTAGTTACCAAACGCATTTCTGTTCTTTTCTACTCTAGGAATAGAAATTTTGGACAGTTTATCAAACGCCTTAAAATACTCAGAAATTGTTTCCGGGCACAGAATAAAAAAAAATCATTTCTGTTCAGAAATAGTTCCCGGGCACAGAATGGTATTCATGCGCACCCTAACTAGATCAAGAAAACTTTGTAGGATGAGGAACTTTTACACAGAAAGAAAATTAATATCTACAGCCCAGAGGAATTTGAGTTGCTAATAATTAGAAGTCGACAATGGTAATTCTCACCATTTTTCAGGAGGGCGGGTAGCGGAGCCAATTTTTGTTGTAAAGCCATAGCAAAGAAATCATTCACAGATTCATATAATACTAATGACAGGCCAATAACAATCCAGAAGGGTCATTTAATGAGAGCATGGAGAGCAAGAAGAGATACCATGCGCAAGATGACTTCCAAGTTCCGACATGCCCAAAAAACCGAGCAAGTTACTAATTAAAAATTTAAAGTGCAGAAACAGAAGAGATAACTGAGAAAATGTACGTACCACATCTTGGTCCGAATAAACCATGTCCGATGACATATGCCTTTGATCCTAAAGGCGGGGATGCAGAATCCATAATAACAGGGGACAGCTGATCTGGAGCATGGACAAGCTGTAATAGGGCAACATCTAGAGGCCCTTTACTAATATACACTACTTTAGCATCACACCAAATCCAAGGTCTAGTATGATCCAGGCGAACGCGTATATTCTTATGACCACTGTAAGGTGAACTTGAGCTGTACTTTGCAAATTTATCTTCTGTGAAACACTCTCCAAATCCTGATATACTAGGCCCCATATCCTCGCTCTCCTGCTTTTCAATGCCACCACTTGGCCTAGGACGACCTGATTTTATTCCGTTCTCTTTACTACTAACAGTTGCCTTCCCAAACCTCCACGGTTCCAACAAGTGAGCATTGGTCATTATGAGGCCTTCACTATTCAGTAAAACGCCAGAAGCCCATGCAGCATCATTAACCGTAACAAGACAAACAGAAGCCATTGCTTTCTCAAGTGTTGCTGAGGAATGGCAAGAAGGATCCTCAGCAATGGAATTCACGGGCCCATTCAGGTCGCTGTTATAGATAAATGCCTTCCCCTGATTGTTTGGATTTCCCAGGTTATGATGGTTCCCCAATCCAGCCTTCTTAGGCTCCTCTGGAAGCACATCTGCGCAAGCAGTTGCAATGGCTTCCCATGGAACCAAAAGCTGTTAACAAGGCTAGTATTTTGCATGATGCATCAACTGCAAGACTGTTCAGGAATTGGAAAAGAGGAACGAATATATATTTTATCAATTTACCTGAACTTCTGCACCACTAGCTTTTTGCCTTAATGGTCTTATGAGAATACCAATTAGATCCGCGTTCTTGTCAAGAACAGGACCACCTTCCATGCCTGATAAATTGTAATCATAGTGGTGTCTGAGTCTAATGAGAATGAATAATAATGTTTAATTCGAACTAAAGAAATGCTCGCACCAGGAAGACACCGAATGTCAGCCATCAGCAATGATCTGTTGGGTGAACCAGGTGGATAGATGTTGGCAATAGTTCCCACTGAGATACTGCACAAAAACCTAAAGATAAGATCTACAAATAACGCAACTTCAAAGAATTATAGGAGTCAAATTAAGCAGTAGAGATTTCAAAAGTTCAAATTATTTCTTTTGATATGCAGAGATCCATGCGGTCTGGATTGCCATACATAGAATAGACTAAATGAAGGAAAGAATTCCAACATCTGCTATTATTAAGCCTATATAAATCTTGAAGATAGAATAAGCTCTCTTTGCCAAGGTAGAAGGATTAAACTATCAATTATATGTATCGTTGAATTATAACAATATCATGCTGAATTGCCTTTAAACTATCAATTATATGTATTGCCGAATTATCAATTATAAAGATAGCCACGTATCTTTATTAAAAAAACAAAAGAACGACAGAATAAGCCAGGTGTTTTCTGGTGATGCCAAGCCAATAAAACAATGACAGCGAATTGATACAGTCTTCATGATGAAAAGTATATGACTCACCTTTTTTAACAGAAAACACCCTATTTATTAAATATCGCATTATTTTTGGCTTGTTACAATGATAGAAGCATATAAAACACCCTTTTTTTTGACAAGGTAGATAACGAATATCAAAGTTGAAAAGTATGTGATGTTAGAAGAGAAATTGCCCTCTCAGAGATTTCAAGGCCTTGATTCACTACAAATAAAACAATGACAGCGAATTGATACAGTAATCATGTGGCGGCTAACATCATCACAAGTCGCAGTAAAGATCCAAACAAAGATTCTCCAGGAAAATAGACAAACATTATGTGAGATTTAAGGAAATCATTCCGAAATATCACCTGTTGATGAAGTGAACGGGTGAAAGGATACCAAATGGAGAACCTGCTGCTAAAAGAAACTCCCCTCTCTTAATTGAAGGCGATACAGCTATGTTTGGCAAATTCTAGTAACATGAAAACATATATCATTGTCACTTTTATAGAGCTGGTAATAGCAAGGTCAGAAGAACAATGGGTCGGAACTCATACCATCCCTTGAAAGATCTGGCGATAGCATGGTAATAAAAACTAACCTCGGGAAATAGGGGAACCCCAAGTACAGCAAATTTAGTGAGTGACTTGCCCATAAGACTTGGATTTGCTGACTCCTCAAGTGCCATAGGCCTTTGGCTCTATATTAAATGTGTTTTAAATCTCAATCAGATAGGTATAGCTAAATGTCAAATTTGCAGAATTTATAGAACTTCAACATGTAATTTAGGTTATACTCTGGATATGAAACGGATGGTCTATTGATACATGATCTCACTTAATTTCTCTCTAATTCCCAATATACAACTATCACAAACCACATGTCTGCTCAAATACACAACCACCTCAAACGACAGAACCATCAGAAAAGAGAAGTCTTGTTCTCCTTCTATTTCTGCCTAAGGGACAGGAAAAAGCAAAGTAACTGGCTTTCAAATTCTTTCCATAGTTTTTAAGCATCCAATTGTGCTGCTTCTACAATGAATTGATTTTACAAATCAGCACGACTGCTATCACAACCTGAGAACTCTTAGAGAATGCAACAATTTAGTATAGGTTCCAAAAGAAGACCTCACAAAAATCTCTTGAAAGTAGACAGTCAGCGATAGTCACATCCCTTTGAGAAGAAGTTGGCAAACGTTCACATTTCATGGCTTCCAAATGTCAATGACTTCATCAAAGCACATCTTAGACAATGCCAAACAAGTTCAAAACCAATTGACACATTTGCCAGAGAAAATTGTCAGCTTTAAGTGTACATTGAAGGCATCAAGGGGACTCTCCTGCCTTGTGGCACACGCCAGTTGAACAAAGTCGTAGATGAGTTGTCTACTACTTAACCTTGTGGTGGATGCCATATAGACACCTCATGTGCACAACGAGGTGAAAGCATTGACAGCTGTGCCAGCATCACGTCTTGTAGAAGAGGCCAGGTGGGCTAAGTCATGGTTAACCATCATGCTGTTGGCTATGGATGTCCTAATGCACAAGTAATAAGATCTTGCCTCCACAAACAGGCATCAGCTAAGCTTTTTGATCATGGTAAGTACTTAATCCGAGCATATACTATTTTCGATATAATAAGTATCTAACCCTGTAATTCCACTAGTAAGAAACCGACGACAAGATGCTTCAGGAAGAAAGCACCTGAATCCCCGTAAAGTTTTGTGCACTGCTGTCGATAGATGCCAGAGACCAACCAATTTCCCAACCATGACCCACCAAGCCAGAGGAAGCTTCAACTAGCGACTGCAATGCAAGGGAGGAGCCAGGTACATCAACCTGCACAATAGCAGATTATGCCCTTATCATGCCTGTTGGTATGCGATAACAAATAGTAAACCAATCAAGGCAGGCGATAACAGAAATGATAGATAAGTCACACAGATCGCCCATTGAAAGTGACCAAAAGCATCAACGTGACCAAACGAGTAGCCTTGATGAAGTGAAAGGCAAAGTCCTCCAGTTGTCTAGAATTTTCTTTAATAATCAAAATATGTTTCCTCAACAGTCCATATAAATTCAAAGTGAGGAACTTTCGATTCAGTACAAGTAACCTAATTTGTCAAAAAAGAGCTCTCATTTCAAGCTTTCATTAGATTCTTGACAACACAGAAAATTACTTCCCAGCAAGTTTCTTCAGTTTCCAATTAAGAACATTAGTAGATTAGGTACCTACCAACGTTAAAAGCTGGGCACTTCGCCAACTAGGGACTTCTCTATCCAGTCCTTCAGTGTCTTCTGCCCTCATGGTGTTCTTCAATAAGTTAGACATCATCAAATTCAGGACTAAGCATCGATTTCAAAGAAACATAATGAAATCTACAGAAGAAACATGAAAAATAGTCCAGCACTACCTCCACCAAAATGTCGATCTGAGCACCAGAAATCAACTCAGGCTGGCCCTGCAGTAGAGAACAAAAGTTTAGGTTTGGAAGTCATCCAATCTGAAATTAAGCAACCGTTAGAACAGAAATGGGTGTGTTTGGTTGCAGAGAATATTTCTGTTTTCAGACAACTGCTCAGAAAACATGTTCTGCGACCAGTGGCCTTAATCAAATTCTCTGAAGGCTCAAAATAGAATTATCATAAAAATGAAAACCAAAAAAGCAATTTTCAAAATGTTTCAATTGAAGGGAGAGAAAACAGGATAATCCCCGAGGATTCTCATGTTAATACAAATGCAATAACAACAAAAGCGACTTTATGCCAAATACACAGTCCATCGAATGTAAAACAATGTAAAACGGAAAATGGAGAATTTAACACAGTAAGTTAATAACTAAAACATTTCTCAAGAACCAAACGCACCCCACATGATATTCTCAACCTTCGAATTGTTCTCCCTGTGCCACAATGATAGAAAAGGCTCGACCACTGACGCGACGGTGACAACCAATGCTCCGCTCCAATTATCGTTGCCAAGAACTCGACTCGCCAATCCAGAGCCGTAAAGAACCTTGGGCACCAACATACCCGAAGCCGACAGCGTTGTTATCCCAGACCTATGCACATAAAGACCCATATCAAACTCTCTCATGCCATGATTACATCAACTGAACTACAAATTGAGAGACTCAAGAACAGAAAAAAAACGGAGAAAGTTCACAAATTCACTCACTGGTATTGATGGAAAGCATGGTTCCGCATCTTCAGGCCCTTTGGGTCCTGAAATCGAACGAGCAGATTGAACCATGTAAGAGCAGCTCCAACTTACATTAAACCAATCGTGGGTACCGAAGAAATGAAACGAAACAGGCATTGACTGAGAGAGATTTGCAGCCAAGAACAGAGAGAGAGACTCACAGGGCCTTGAACTCGGACCATGACGGAAATTTCCCGGGCAACTTGGACGATTTCCGGCAAACCCATTTCAAGAAACCGGGATCCGACGTTGCCTTCGCAAGAACTCGGTCCGAGGTTTCCTTGTTCTCCTCTCGCACGAGCGCGAGGTCGCCGTCAACTTCTTCTTGCTCCGCCCATTGCTTCGACAGCGAGTACGGATGGATTGCTTCTGTTGCGTAGAAGCTCGCTTGTCGAGAAGACTGATAAACAATTTCGATAGATATTGTTCTGACTATTTTATATTTGAGCCCTTTGGATTTGATTTTAAAACTGTTGTTTTCTTCTAAAAATTTCAAAAAGATAACTTTTTTAAGATTTAAAAAAAGTCGACCAAAAAAAAAGATTTAAAATTTTTTTTGAATTAGATGCTAATTTATTCTTGGGAAAATTCCAATTGGGCAGCGCAGGTCAGCACTTTCAAAGAGGGCAGAAGTGAATATAGTGTCGAATAAGAGCGCAGAAGTGCCCAATTAGTCTCAAATAGGGGCCCGAAGTGCTCAATTCACCTCACGTAAGGGCCTGGGTTCGCCGGCCGGCGAGCACAGTTACTTTCCGGTAATCGGAACAGTAAATTTCGTCTCCGTTTTTTTTTTTTTCCTTTCTCTGTTTTTTTTTTCTTCTCTTCCCTCCGCCGGCCATAGCTGGGGCCGGTGGAGGCCGCCCTCGCCCGCCCAGTCGAGGACCGCCCACACCGGCGTCGGGCGGGCGAGGGCGACCCTCGCCGCCCGGCCCGGTCGAGGCGCCTCACCGGCTCGGCGTCGGGCAAGGGCGAGGGTTGCCCTCACCGGATTTGGCGAGGGTCGCCCTAGCCCGCCCGACGCCGGCGTGGGCATGGGCGGCCCTCGACTTGGAGGGCGAGGGCGGCCTCCGCCTGAGGCCAACGACCTCCGCCGGCCCCGGCTATGGCCGACGGAGGGAAGAGAAGAAAGAAGAAAAAAAAATAGAGAAAGGAAAAAAAAAAAATGAAGACGAAATTTACTGTTCCGATTGCCGGAACAGTAACTGTGCTCGTCGGCCGGCGAGATTTGACCAGCCGGCGAACCCAGGCCCTTACCTAAGACGAATTGAGCACTTCGGACCCCTATTTAAGACTAATTGGGCACTTCATGCGCTTATTTGACACCATGTTCACTTTGGATCCTCTTTTGAGAAAAGAACCCCACTTGGGGTCCTTAATTGAAATTTTCCCTTTATTCTTTTATATTGATATATCGAAATGGTTTTAAATATTCTAAATCGGATAAAATATAAATTATGCAACCCGTAAGATTTGAAATAAAAAAAACGGACCAGAAAAGTTTTATCAATAAAGAAAATATTTAGTGATTTGTTACCAATAAAATATTATCAATTGCATTGTCTCTACAACAATGCGACAAATGTAAAGTGAAGTAGGGGAGAGCGGATAGATTCCTTACAGGTTCCATCTTGAACTATTTTTAGTTAAACAAAATGAAAATGAACGCAACAATACTAAATAAGCTTGTCATTCATCAAAGAAAATACAAAAGACTAGTTTTCCTAGCATTACGGTTCAAATAAATATAATTAAAATGAGAAGTTATCGCATTCCGTAAATCAATACTAGGGGTGAGCGGTTCCATATTCCGTACAAGTTCCGTCTGGAACCTACCCATGATAGTAGGTTCTTCATTTTTTGGAACCTAAAACCTACCATATCATAAGTTCAAGGGTCGATTCCAAGATTCTACCTATATTATTAATTGAATAAATATAGTGAATTATCACATTTAATAACCACCACTTACTGCTCTGATTCACTGACCATAACGTATATTTAGACACACGAAAAATATGAAATATTAATAAGTCATAAAATGAAAGCTTTAACTAATTATTCCAGATTATGCACTTATCATCTAACGCCATGAAATACCGTAGAATCACGAAAAAATATAGACCAAGATAAAACACAAAAAACTTATTTAGGTTTCATGTTCCAAGTTCTGGGTTCCACCTACCTAGAACCTGAAACCTACCCATCGAAACAAATTCCCCAATTTTTGAAACCTGGAACCTACCTCGCACATCTTAAAACTTGGAACCTATAAGTTTCCGCCGATCAAGTTCTTAAGTTCCATGTTCTACCATAAACTATGCTCTCCCCTAAAGTGAAGTGAGTTTATACGTCTTCTACTAGATGAATTAACTCCATTATTCGGCCAAAAAAAGAGAATTTACTCCATCATATTGTCAGTTAAAAGTGAACTTAAGCACGTCTTACTTGCTTTGTTTGTAGGTGTAATAACATAAGTAGTCCATAAACTTTCACCCGATATGCAATGTAACTTTTAATATGTTTAATATGGCCCCTGAACTTTAACTCAATATGTAATGTGGTCCCTAAAATTTTAATTTCTTCAATATGACCCCTAAACTTTTGGTATATGTTCAATGTAGTCCCATAAGATTTGAAATAAAAAAACGGAAATTTCTCAAGTTTGCATCTATTGAAGGTACATATTTTATACTTTTAACCGAACGATTTGAAGGTAGATCATCACAAAAATCAGATTGTCTTTTTTAATACAAACAGTCTTATACATTCACAACAATATGTAATTGTGGATTTTTCAATAACAATCTCTTTCAACCTCTCCTAAATAATTTTGATCCATTACTTCTCTTGAGGTTATATATACAGATAGTATACATACTTTATGTAATGCCCTTTTTCTCATTTCGTCAATTTAATCCTGAAATAAAATATCCTTTTGCCTTCATATGATACTGATATTTATATATAAATGCCCTTTTTTTCTCGTTTCATCAATTTAAATCTCAAATGAAATATCTTTTTTGCCTTCATATGATACTGATACTTTTTTTTCTGGCTAATGTCTAGGACAATCCAATGAAACAAAAATCATATTCTAATTTTCAAAATTCTCTCAAGTGACCTTTTCAACTTAGTACTCGCACTCATTTTTCACTTTACTATGTACTTATGAATCATGTCAACTTAATGACATTATTTATTTCCAGCAATGCTAATTTTATTTAATTGTCAATCATTTTCAGACGTGGCACCACATGAATAGAAAAGTTAGGAAAAGAAAAACTAGTCACATGGACTTTTTGTCTATGGAAAACTAACGTGGTCGATGGAGAGCTGTGCATCGGATACAAGTTTTTAGGCTTGATGTAACAATACCATCTTTCGACACGTGTCATGCGGTATAGCTTCTCTCTCGAGTTTTATACTTGTTTTTTTTTTCAATGTTGATACCGTTAAAAATCTCAAAATAGTACCATGCGGCACGTTTACTCCTAATTAATTTTTGTCTCACAAAAAAATTTATATCAGTATCATGACACATTTACCCCAAATATATTTTAATCCTAAAAATAAAATAAAAAACGTAAATCGATACCTCTGTCCAAATTTTACCTTCCGTAACATTCCTTCCAACATCCTGCTAAAATGAATATGTGCTAACACACGCGGTAGGCAGCTGCAAGATGAATCTGACCTGGAAAATGACGAATGCAATGTGTACGGGACAGAGGTATATGTTTTGGATTTTGGAAGAAAAGTTCGGGGTAAATATTATGGGTACACATTTGAAATTTTTTACGAGATGAAAATTAATTTTGAATAAATATGTTTTGGGTATGGGTTTGAGATCTTAGAGTTAATACCATGAAAACCTCAAATCGGTATATTTATAACAAATTTATCCCAAACTAATTTTCTAGACTACTAAAAACCCCAATCTGATACATTATGATAAATTTACCCAAAAATAATATTTTAAAATTTCAAATTGGTATATTTGTGATAAATTTACCATTTGTTAGTCTCCGTTAAATTGGATTAATACAACAAAAAATTACAAATTGATATGCATGTGACAAACGGAGGGTAAAACATAAAACCGATATATTACAGTAAAATTTAACGAAAATAAATAGAAAAAAAATTGAGACTTTTAGTGATCAAAAAATTAATTTAAGATAAATTTATCATAAGTGTATCAATTTAAATTTTGCGAGGTCTTGACCCGAGATTTTATTACGCCATGTACGAAGTTGGTAGCGATGGTCAAGGCTCTGCTTCGTCTTCTGTGAGCTTTTCGGCTTTGATCTCTGCGGGGGTGGGAGAGAGAGAGAGAGAGAGAGAGAGCGAGAGAGAGCGTCTCTCGTTCTCTTCTCCGTCAGCTCCTCCATCCGACTACGAACAATGCGAACTCGAAAACGCCCTCGCAAACCTTCGGACGGCGACGTCGCGCGCCGCGACGGCACGACCCACCATGGGGAACCGCCTCAGGATGATCATGGTAACTTCCTCGGAGTCCTGTCGACCCGCAAACCCCGACAATAGGCGCCATTTCTTTCTCATGCAGTTGCTTCGTTTCGCCAGATTTTTTTGCTTTCATATTGATGGGGTTTGATGAATGTTTCCTTCTTTGTTTGTTTCTTTCCCCCCTCTGCTTTTCCTCGCGGTCTCTAGAATTTCATCGGAGCTCTTCGTCCCGTGACTTGGACAAGGACGGGTATGAGTATATTATCTGTCTCTCTTTTTTAGGCCTTGTCTGCATGTGTTGGTGAGCTTTGTGTGTTAACTTTGTTTGGTGTTGGGTTTGTCATAGGATCAGAATCTTTCGCTCAGGCTACGAAACTTGTGAATATCTCAGGCAAAACTCTTGATTCCGAGTTGAGTTGTTCAGACTACATTCATGGAACTAGGAACTCTGCATTGTAATGTCAGGTTTCTGAAATTTGTGTCCGTGTGTGCTTTGTGGTTTAGTTAGAACTGGATAAATTTGAGCATTTTATTTATATGTGCTAGAATGCGGGTTGGACTGCATAATTCCTGTTTACTCCACAGAAGTGACGGAATCACGTTGGAACTTCTGTTTGGTCAACGGGCCGCATCATTCACGATACATTCTGGAATGGTTGCTTAGCAATAGGCAGAGTCATTTTTAATAAGATGGATTTTCCATGAACCAGACTCTATGAATTGAGACAGCAACCCTTGATAGACGAGTAAAATTTTTTGCCTTCAATTATTTCCTATTACATCAGTTTGGAGGACAGGGATCTAAGCAGTGTTGAGCTGGTGGTTACACAATATGCTTTCCTTCATCATCTACAACTACCCATCTGTTTTGAACATCTGTTTGGATTATAACTCGAGTGTGTGAAACTGCTTCGTGGTTTTTTTTTTCCTTTCGGTACTGCTTCGTTATTTACTTTCCAATTAATCTCGTGTGCAATTTTGGCAATGCCAGTGATCCAAAATCTTTAGCTAGAAAGATCAAAACATTTAGGTCAGGTGCTGGATTTTGCGCCCCAGGTCATGTCATTTTGCGATGCAGGGATAATAAACGCAACATGGCTACATAAGCTTTCATCTACATTCCTTGCAAACATTTTTGTATCCCTAGCGTTACACAGTTTCTTGTAACTGTAGTGCAAGTGCTATTTGAAGCCAAAGCTAGGGGCTTAGTTTATATGTTACTTTTAATGTATACTTCCCAATCGTAATCTCGTTTGGTACAGCTTCCGCACAGCAATTACAACTGGGAAAAGCGGTGTTGTAGTTTCTGTAAGGTGCTTGGCAAAATCACTACAACTGCAGCACCCTCAAAGTGCAACGACTTGTAGCAGCTCTCAGGAAACTGCCTCACCTAGTTTTGAAGTGCTGCGACAATATATTGCCAAGCACACAAGTTACACCACTTCATAGCACAACCGTAACATTGCTACAACTATAACAACCAGACTCTAAATGGCATGATATTGTTCTGTTCAGATAATTGTAGGAGGAGCATCTCCCCCTCGACTAAGTATGTAATAGGAGCTGCAGCTGCAGCAATAATGACAACCACCGAGCCTTTTTCTTTATGTTGGGTCGGCCATTAGTTTGATTCCAGAAACAAAATTATGCAATAGCATCTTCAAAATATGGAAAAAAAAATTGCTGCATTTGAAAATATTTCTTAGAATAGAAAAACAGCCATTACTTTCTTTTAAGGCATCCTTTACCGGATCCATTCACCAAGAAAATTATTCTTTATGAGCATCTTGTATGGGGAAATCTGTTTGTTGATGATTTATTGGTACAATAGCCATGTTATATAATAGCACTGGGCAATATGGGTTTCGGAAACTCTTAACTTTCAACTAAATTATTGATGGCACACTGTGATTTCTGATAGCTGGTCATCTGACAATATGCTGACTGATTGAGTTCTCTTCAGTTATGTTCAGGTGGAATTGGCTGAAATAAGGGAAAAACTGCAATGCCCGATATGTCTAGGTGAGAATGTGGGGCATAAATGCATTAGATGCTTAAAATCCATTTTTTTGATCTAATTTGGCAATTCCATTTCAAATTGATGAATCTATTGAGTAGACAGTTGTGATTAGCCATCACAAACTGCCTGTCTACATGAATACGTTCAAGTCCCAAAATCTCTTCGAAGGTTCTATTGTCAAGTAGTTGGATATGACTGACAAAGAACTACCATTTCTGGCATGAATTATGTAAACACTTGCTTTATTCTCGAGAAACTCTGGTACTATAGATACTTGTGGCAAAAGTTAGAAACGAAAGAACTTTGATTAGATGATAAGGTCCTATTCAAATAGGCAGTAGGTTTAAATTTAGTTTTTACTTCATGTGCGACCTCTATGTAGGTTTATTATTCTTTAGAGGGACAAGTGCTTGGACATTTGGCTAGATGAACAGTCAAACATGGTATCATGGGAACTTTTATTTTCAAAATGGAAATCAATAAGTGATCAGATGGCCATACTTGTGAGTTCTAGATACTGCAGTGGCAGTCTCTTGTCTTCGTGAGTTTAACTGTGAATGAAGGATAAAAACTTATAAACCTTTTTTATACCACTTTTTTTGCTCATTAAGTTTATGCATGAGCCTCAATTTATAGGAGAATATCATGATTTCTTTTTCTGCTCTAGGAATCATACGGAATACAAGGGCAGTAAAGGAATGCTTGCACCGTTTCTGCCAAGAATGCATTGCCAAATATATGCTGCTGGGGTGTGCTGTACACAATCCGCTTACTTTCGACTCCTTATAAACATCATAATTTTCTCTTCAGTTGGAGATCATCGTGAACTCCTTGTTTGAACAATCTTTTAATTTATTCAAATTAATTAGTGACATTCCTCATTCAGGGGTAATGAATGCCCCGCTTGCCACGAGCATTGTGGCAGTGATGCTCTCCGTGCTGATCCAAGATATGATGCTCTGATAGAAGCATTTTATCCTGATGTTGTCAAGTCTAAGGTATATTTTGTTTAATATGTTGCACCAGTGCTGTGATATATTCGACAACTCCTACTGCTGGCGTTGACTGTTGAAGCTAATCATGAAACATCTTGTTCAGGAATTTGCTTTTCATGTTATTGTTGCTGAAGACTTGACTCGCAATTCTTCTGAGAAGGCTACCAACACTGATGCCGATCATGTTGCCTCGCTTCACAACACGTTTGTTCCTGCCCCAATTCCTTTGGCAGAGCATAGTAATAATTCATCGATACTGACTTGTATTTGTGCACTTCGTCATTGTACTTACTGATATTTCTTTCGTTTTGACGGATCTAAATGTCAGTCTTCCATCAATTGGAGTCAATGTCAGCATGTCTGAACTCAGGCTTGAAGATGAAGCTATGGTTATCAGTACAACCATTGAACGTGCAATTGTTGCTGAACAGAATCAATCTGAAGAAGCTGTCGACATGGCTACTGGAGGTTTACCATCCCAGCACTCACTTGTTCTTTCATTACCCATAGTGCCAGAACAAGGTATTAAACCTGTCCTTTAATAACTTGTGACTTCCATGTTACTTACCAGCGTTCTTATCGGCATATGCTACGTCTTTTCCTTATTAGACTTGAGAGTTTCCCTCTCTGCTTCACCTTCTCCGCCGACTCAAGTGACTGGTCCAGTGTTAACTCCAGAAGGTGGGAACAGAGTAATGAATGAAGATGATCCTGCAACTATCGGTATTCAAAAATCTACTCCTGTCGATGAATCTGAAACTGTTGATGCTTCTACTCTTGGATCTAATCCTGTTGAGATGATTGATCCTGCCCCTAATCCTCTAGTTGATCTGATACCGACATTGCCTCTTGATCAACCACCAGCAACCTTCTGGATGCCACAATCAACACATCAGATCGATGTTGAAGCTGTGTTAGATCCGCCAATGATCCACACAGAGGATATCAGCATCTTCAGGACTAAGCTTGAGAGGGTTAAAACAATTTTACACTCCGAAGATGCAAGCTCTGTTAGTACTTCATCGGAGTCTGGATCGACGTCTATTATCACTGACGAGATAGTAAAGGCCAAGTGGTACGAATTTCTCGAACTCTCGAGGGGTGGCCATCTATCAATTGTCACTGACCCGTCAGTTGATGAGAAGGTTAAAACTCTGTTGAGCGAGCTGTGTGGCAGTAATATTTGCTTCACTGGGTCTCCTAGGTTTAGAAAACGCTGTGAAGAATTCTTGGCTCAATTTCTCAGTGGGGTTGATACTTATAAGCAGAATTGCGAGAAAATAGCCACATTGGCATTATGGGAGAAGAGACGTAGGCTTTCGCATGAGTCTGTTGAGAGTGTTGAGAAAACAGTAGAAAACCAAACTGCACAAGAATCTGTTAAAGCTGCTGAATCACTGGTAAAGGAAACAGATGATAGTAATGCTCCTGCTCAGACACAGGAAAGCAGATCTCCACCAGCAGCAAATACGGTTGATGACAGAGAGGAATTTGAGGAAATTCCAGAAACAGCTACTATGGATGCTGATATTCAGGGGGAGCTTCAGAAAGATAAAGGAGTCCAAATTGAACGGCCAAACTTTGAACAATTCCAAGGTCAGACCTCCCATGACGAAACCATTCTTTCTGTGTTGCTTGAAATTAAAGAACAACAATCTGCATTGAGAGAAGACATGCAGAACTCGAAGACAATTGTTGAAGAAATGATTCAGAATGTCAAGCTTCAAGTAGAACAGAATATGGCAACAATTGAGAAAGCAATTGGTCAATGCATGTCTAAGTTTGAGGATGCTGTTCAGAATTTGGAGTACTTTCAACTTGTTCGGGTCCCTTTTAAGCCATAGTTTTTCAGAATCTTTTTCTTGTTTTGTGTGTTAATTTTTTGAACTAAATGTTTATTTTGAACTTTTAGTTTGACTTGACTTGTTATGGCTGACTTTTTGGATATTATAATATTATGATAAAAATTTATTTGTGCTGTTGACAAAAAGGGAGAGAAAGTATGCGGATTTGTGATGCAGATTACTATGATCAGTTTCGAAATGCAGGTTAATGGAGCAAAGAAAGGTCACCGATTATATTATATGCTTAAAATATTTGACAAAATCTTTTTATTTGCGTGGAAAGTTTTGTCACCATAAAAAATGAAGAGATTGTTAAGAAAACTTCCTAATAGATTTTGATGTCGACAAAATTATCCATGAGTAAGTCTGACATATGTTTTTGAAGTATTCTAAGTCCAGGAAGTTTTATTCTGGAAGATCATGTTGAGGAAAACTCCTAATGAATTTTGAAGTTGACAAAACTTTCTATGATAATCTTGTGATTTTGACATGCATTCCATTCCAGGTGAATATATTCTGGAAGTTCAAAATAAAATATCAGACATTACAAGTACTCAGAACGAGAAGTTCAGACTCAGAAGTAGAAGTTCAGACTCTAAATGAAAAGTCAAATTTAGAATGAGAACTTCAGACCCTATGAGAAATAGGTTTATATCTTATTAAAAGAACCCCACTAATCTAAGTTCTGAAACAGACGCAGACACAGAAGTCTTTCAGACGCAGAAGCAAAACTCATTTAGAACGAAACATAAGAGCTAGTGATCAGGCATGGATTTCACAAAAGGAAAATTTTGATTTTTTCAATCTAAGGCTAAAATTGATTGACAATCAAATACTATGACAAGTATGCATTATAACGGATAAAGCTCTACTTATGGAAATCAAGATTCTAATTATATGGGCGACCAGAATCAACAGGATTCAGATTTCATCAACCAACGGCTACTCAATTCATTTTATACAAATCTGTCCAAGATGAATATTGGAAGATGATCCTCTGAATACTGTCCAACGGCTAGTTTGGAAGTGGAGGAGTATAAAAGGAGATCAACAGGGAGCAGAAGGTAGAGAACGAAATCAAGAATCAACAAGTCCAAAGTCTGAGTCTACTCCGATCCTTTCTTTTGTCTTTCTTTGAGCTAAACACTAAGATCTTGAGGGATACTTTATAATAGTGAGTGTGTTAGATAGAGAGTCATATCATACACAAGAGTACTGTCACTCAGAATTTGTAATTTCTCTTGATTACATAGTGAAATCCAGCTGGTAGGCTGTCAGCGTGGGAGAGTGGACGTAGGCTTGATCTAAGCCGAACCACTATAATCGTTTGTGTGCAGTTTTTCTTTCCCTAATCTCCTACTTTACATACTGCATACCAAGAGCACTGTCTGTATAAACTGTTTTTAATCTGAATTTTATTCAAACTCTACTGTGATTAATCATTTCCGCTATAAATTGATCAAAATTATTTAGATCACTTATTCATCCCCTCCTCTAGGACCAGACTTTACATGTATCAGAAGGAGAAGTTCAGGTTCTACACCGCAAAAGACAAAGATGAGATTTTGTACGTGGCAGTTGAAGAACTTCAGTTTATATACTAGAATCAAAAGATTCAAGATTTTTCAGAACAAATCATTCTGACTCAAGTTCTGAGCGCAAGGACTTTATCCAGACATTATCGCAAACTCAAAATAACGGCTAGTAATCTGGCTTGAATTTCACAAATGGAAAGTATTGATTGATTCGATCTTAAAAGATTATTTTGCAAGGAATATTTATGTCGTGAAATATCCTTGATTGATTGACAATCAACCCCATGACAAGTTTATTTCTAAATGGAGAAGCTCTATTTATGAAAACCAAAGTTCTAGTTGTATGGGCGACCAGATTCAGGGGGATTTTGACTTTGTCACTCAACGGCTACTCAATAATTTTTATACTGTCCAAAGTGAAAATTGGAAGATGATCCTCCAAAGACTGTCCAACGGCTAGTTTGGAAGTAAAGGAATATAAAAGGAGACAAATTGTCAGGGAGCAAAAGTAGAGAGATGATATCAAGAATCATCTATTCCAAAGTCAGAGCAAATTCCGACCAATGTAACTTGTCCTTCTTGAGCAAAACACTATAATATTGAGAGATCTATCGTAAGAGTGATTGAGTGAAATAGAGTGACCTATCTTTCACAAGAAAGTTATCACTCAGAATTTGTAATCTCTTGATTGATCATCTAGTGGAATTCAGTTAGTAGGCTGTCAGCGTGGGAGAGTGGACGTAGGCTTGATCTAAGTCGAACCACTATACGTCTTGTGTGCAGATTTTCTCATCCTTTAAAACTCTTTCTACTTATCACATTACATTGCACACTTGCTTTTAAAGTTTGTTTAAAATCTGAACGTTATTCAGACTTTGTTCTTGATTAATTATTTCCGTTTTAAATTGATCAAAAAGTACTCAAATCACCTATTTATCCCACTCCAGGTGATCCATGCTAGCCACCTCAGAGAGGTAAAAAGATAGAGTGAAGACCGCAAATGATAGTTTGCGAACTTTGTTTGACGAAGAAGCCAACCTCACTGCCCAAGAAAGGGATCTTGAGAAGCAACTCGCTGAAATCCAACATCGGAAGAAACTCGACGGGATGGACATAGCTCAATTGAATGAGCTTCTGAAGAAAGATCTTAATGATTATGAAGTATCGGTAAAGGAACAGGATCAATATAACAAAGAGGCAGTTAGGCAAATACATACCATGGGCCACCTGGTGCGCCAAAGTAGCTATCTGGAGCGTGATTTGTCTATTTTTGAGAGGGATGTGAAAAATTTGTTGAATGGTCTGTAACATACGGCACTTCTTACTGATGAAGTATTCTCTCTATCCCCACCTACCTTTTTTGCTCCTTCTATCTGACAGGCGATTTCTGAACACGTAGCCAATCGTGTCCTGTCACGAAATATCAAGTTGGTCTCTCGAGGGCAATCTCTATTTAAACCGTTTCTCCTTTTTGAAACACTTCACATTTCCATCTTCCCGCCTCCTAAGATTATCTCTTTAACCCGCTTCTTGAGCCATCTCCTTTGCTTTTAGCCTTTTCTCCTTCAGATTCCACATATGGCGGGAAGAACTCGATCTTCCATGAACTCCGTCACTTGTCCAAGCGTGTATTTCAGAATTATGAACATTACGGCCATCGTTGACTTTCATGAATGATGTCTTTAAAGGTGGTCAGTTGATTTTCGGTCCATGTCTCAAGTCAGTTGCTCCTCCGTTCGAGTTTGTCGAATGTTTCCCTCAACACGATGCCGAAGTTTCTCCCATCAATCGCAGCTTTATTTGTGACCATGTTTGGTCTAACCCAAGCTATCGATTCGGCTCCTTTTCAACCTTCTACGAATGATTCTTTCAACGGTATCTAAGGTTGAAATCTCAAATGTGGCCTAAATGGCAGCAAGCTAGAATTGACTCGGCTTTGGAATTTTGTTGCTTGCCTCTCAACTCTTTTGAGTTCAACCTTATCGATACTCTGCTATTTTCGGTCCCCCTTCAGCACATTGCTTCTTTCTTGTGCCGGAGCCAGTACCTATCACTCTGTTGGACGTGTGGACTCTCGCCGGACTGTGTCCTTTTGGTGAGCATTCTGAGACTAATGTTGTGAGATCCGGAATTATCGTAATTATATTTGTATGACATTCGGAAATTTCCATAACCGATAATAATACTTAGATTATGAAGCTCAGTATTAATTAGTTTAGAAATAGGGTGGACACGTAGAAATCTTAGTTAAATCGTAAATTTTGTGAGTTATGGGGAACGCCGAGGATGACTATCGCAAATGTAATCGTTCCGAGTTGGACGTGTTGAAAATACATAATCCTTTTGTCAAGAAGAAAATCACTAGTCAAACAATCAAGAGGGAATCCCCTCGGCTGTCATGAATATGTCACGGCCCTGAGAAATGGATCGTTCTCGAGGTTTTATGAATGAAGGACCATGACCAATCCATGACTGAGCGGGCGGACCTCGAGAATACTAAGTCCTAGGCTGCGTTTGGTCGTCTGGATTTTTACTAAGGATAGGATATGAAATCTAAGAGATTTGTTATATCCTATCTATTGGGGGTAAGTACAGCGCAAGTGCCATAACTTTTGTACGGAGGACACTTAAGTGGCATAACTTTTTTTTAGCTCACTTGAGTGCCATAACTTCCAAAAAAAAGATCACTTAAGTGCCACTTACGAGCTGGTCGTGAGGGCCCAAAACTGCGGCTTTTCTGGCCGAACAGTGACCTTCCCGACGAGACGAGCACCACCAGCTTGAAGAGAGGGTGTCGGTGAATCATTCCGTGGCCTCCGTTCGTCTCGAAATTTCCGTTTTAGCCTCCGTTGACGAAAGTAAAAATGCTTCGTAGTCGCACGATTTATCGAGCCGATTTGTGTGACTACGAAGCATTTTTTACCTTCGTTAACAGAGGCTAAAACGGAAATTTCGAGACGAACGGAGGCCATGGAATGATTCACCGACACCCCCTCTTCAAGCTGGTGGTGCTCGCCTCGCCGGGAAGGTCACCGTTCGATCGGAAAAGCCGCGGTTTCAGGCCCTCACGACTAGCTTGTCAGAGGGGTTGGTCGTGAGGGCCCGAAACCGCGGCTTTTCCAGCCAAACGGTGACCTTCCCGGCGAGGCGAGCACCACCAGCTTGAAGAGGGGGTGTCGGTGAATCATTCCATGGCCTCCGTTCATCTCAAAATTTCCGTTTTAGCCTCCGTTGACGAAGGTAAAAATGCTTTATAGTCACACAATTTATCGAACCGATTTGTGTGATTACGAAATATTTTTACCTTCGTAAACGGAGGCTAAAACGGAAATTTCGAGACGAACGGAGGCCATGGAATGATTCACCGACACCCCCTCTTCAAGCTGGTGGTACTCGCCTCGCCGGGAAGGTCACCGTTCGATTGGAAAAGCCGCGGTTTCACGACTAGCTTGTCAGAGGGGTTGG